AAGTCTCAGCCTCAATTTTCTGCAAAATGGGGATGATAATACTTAACTCTTACAGGGTTGTACCAAATGAGATAATAATTGTAAAGTGCCTTGCAAACCTTAAAGGTCTATATAAATGTTAATGATTATTGCCCTTGCCCCTAACCCCCTCCCATCCCCTCAATATAACAACAGCAACCCACTCCAGAGGCTTGGCTTTATTGTGTAGTTTTTTCCTTGCCTAGATGCCATAATACAACAAGCTGTGGCTACAATACACACGATCACAGGACAAGACAGCAATGCCAGTAGGTCGTGGGGAGCTGGGTTCTGGTTTTTTAGACCTCATTTCATGAAGATTGGCATCGTTTCTTGGGCTTTCTCCATTGTATTCCTCAGAAAACTCCCGCGTGGGTCTGTGATGTCACCAGAGAGATACCTGAGCAGTCCAATTAAGAGGGAAGGGGACAGGAATGCCCCAGAAGAGGTGCTGTCTCAGGGACATAGCTACCACCTACACCTATCCCATTAGCTCACCACCTAGTCTCTTCAAACAGGAGGCTTCCTTTGTATGGAAGGATCCAGTTATTTATCTGGGCACAGCCTGACTTGGCTCATCAGCGACTGAAGCTTTTGTGAAAGTCCAGGGTGGGGGTGGGGGGGTGAGAGGATGAGGAAGATGGATATAACAGAGAAGGGAGGACTGGGAGATTTACCATCCCCGTCTTTATCCTAGACCCCCATTCCCTAGGGTTGGATGCAGAAACTAGAGGGAGCACTTCTCAGGCAGTTCACTGAAAACTGCTCAGTACAGCTTTTCCTTCCCCCTCTTTTCTGCACTTTCATCCCCAGAGGGGGATTTTCTGAAAAGCGGTATTTCTGGGGGATTTCTGAAAGTGGTAAGATGGAGGCATTTCCAACTGATCCTTCTAGTGTGGTTCTTTTTAGCTCGGTAAAAACAACATGGCAGGTTTGGGAAACCTAGAATCTCCATCTCCTTTAACTCTGGAATGGTTCCGATGTTTTTCCCATTTTGGCCGTGGGATGCTCCTGACACGTGACACCTCCCACCTACTGCTTCCCCTGTATCATTCCCTGTCCTCCTAAACTCAGGCAGGGAAAGAAGATCCCAAGTGCCTCCTTCCCCCATCCCACCATGTATATCCTCTGTGGAGCCTCTCTCGAGGTCATAGCAAATCATCCTTGCCAATCCAAAAGCTGGCTCGGTCTCTCCTCTGCCCTCTTGCTCCCTGCTTTACAAACTTCCGAAGGAAGGAAAAGAAGAAAAATAACCCCATACAAATCACAGAAGCAGCCCTGGAATGACATACAAAAATGCAGCCGGTAGTACCAGGTAAGGGGAGTGTGGGTCGCAAGGCGGCAAGGTGGAGGAAGAGTAGGCGGATGACGGCATGCGGAACTAGGATTCCTCTATAGGGGTGGGTTCCCTGCCTCCTCTCGCCTCCCCAGGTGGGGGGTGAAGTGGGACAGCCGGCTCAGAGAGAGGGGGGCTCCTGGGGTTTGGCCTCATCTTTTCTGTCTCCTCCGCGTCCCCCAGCCAATCACAGGCACTCAAAATCCGTGGCCTGTAGGAGAGGGAGAGGGAGCAGCAGCAGCAGCAGCCAGGAAGTGTTCTGGACCAGCAGGCTCATGACCCCACAGGTTTGCAGTTTATCTGATGAGAAAGAAGAGAGCAAAGACATCGTGGAAGAATGAAGAGGACGGGGGAGGGGGAAGAGCCGGGCCCAGTGAAACTTGGAGCGGCCTGTGGGCACCGGCGTGTATGGTGGGACACACCCAAAGCTCCAGACCTGGGTCAGCTACTTTCCCTCTTGCCCAAGGGGGAACATAACTTTCTAGAGCAGGAGAGGGAAGAGGTCACAGAAAGGAATGGTCTTTTTGGGGAGTGAAGACGCATAATGGTTACTCAGAAGTGTCCAGAAATCAAACTGAAGGGGGCATCGGGTGATAGTGAGTTTGGGCAGAGAGAGAAGAGTTGGAGAAATTAGAATACCCTTTCTTTATGACAGGACTCCACTCCATCTCCTTCCAAAGTCCAAAGGACTCCAGGATGTCCTTTCCCAGTTGGAATGGGACTGCATCATTCTCTCCCTAAAGCCCCATGGAACTCTGGTGTCCTGGGAAACCCTCCAAGTCTGCTGGCCAAGTTTTGATTATTCTACTTCCATTCCAGGGTTTCCATTTTGTTTTTTGCTCTAGAGAAACCTCTTCCTTTCCCCAAACCTTTCT